AATAATAACAATAATAATAATAACAATAATAATAATAGTTATAATAATCATAATGGTCATAATAATAATAATAGTCATGATAATGATAATAATAGTCATAATAATGATAATAATAATAATAATAATGATGATGGTTATAATAATGATGATAATGGTCATAATAATGATAATAATAATAACGATAATGTTAAGCCATTCAGAAAATTATCCGCGATCCAAATTAAAGGAAGGTAGTATATGATCTGGAAGGGAGGAGAGGGGGGGGAGGAGGGGGAGAGGGGGCGGTCCATTTCTCCTAGTCGTTCAGGGGATAAGATGTCCAACCCACCCTTGCTTCGCAAAGTAAACTAAAAGGTAGCCGTTGGGAGGCTACCTTTCGTAAATAGATTGTTTTTATTTATTTATTTATTTATATTATTTTAAGAATTTCAGATAATTTAAAAATATTGATATTAATTATTCTAAATATAAAAAAAATATTTTAAATTATATATCTAAAAAATAGGAATTAAATTCATCAAAAAAAATCCATATAAGGCATTGGAATATTTCTGACCCAATTTAATATCCTTAATTTTGTTCCTTAAAAATATCCAGAAAGAATCCAGATATCAAAGGGCACCCCAAAGAACAGGTAATGAAGGAGACGAATATATGAAATTATCGATTTTTTCAGAGGTTGCTTTCAGCATTTCACAATTGCTCACGCAGCTTGCTACATCTTTTGAGCAACTCAGGATCCTATCAATGACCAGCCCAAGCCCAACCTTTTTGACTCAGGAATCATGTCTTTTTCCATTCTATGAATCACGTCCTAGGATTTGGCTTCCAGCAGTGCTCTTTGCGACTCCGGAAGCCGAAGCTGGTTGAGCGCGAACTCCCTGCTGAAAGGTTGGTGAGCTTCTGCAGTTACTTGGAAAAACTGCAGGCGCTGCAAATACCCAACCGTTGCTGAGAGATCTGCTTGTTCTGAAACGCCAATACTACAAGAACTTGAACATCAAGCAACAACCTGCTCACACAACGCAAACAGAATCTCTCGCAAGCAACTTGATCAGGATCAAACAATTTGGCACATACCTACCTGTTGCTGGTTGCTGTGGAGTTGCAGCATCAAGAGCAACTTATGTCTGAGATTTGAGGAAGAGTTGCGAATCACCAATCAGCAAAATGAGAAACACACCTTTCCAATCCCTTCTTGTCAATCTCATAGATTGACTTCTTCCTCAAATGCCAGGTGGTAAGCATCAATGCTTCATGATTTTGCGCTCGTTATCAGCAGCTAAAGCGCCAGCCACTTGCAAGTCCCATGACATGACCCATGTCCAGTCCATTAGTTGATTTGGTGTCAATTCCAAGCTAAAATCTCATCTAAATAGGACCCCTGCGCAAGAAGTTGGGCTTTGCATTCCTAGACTTCCAATCTCTTCCATACGGCATTTGGGCTGGCACCAGCTACCAAAAATGGAACAACTTGCATTGAACCATGCGGAATTCAAACAAACTCAAGCCCAAATGCTCTCAAATATGAGCCCTGCCCAAAGTGTGGGTTCCTTAACCGCACATCGGGACAAAGTCCCATTCGATCGGTCTCTTGGGTGCGCTTTGGGACCACCTGAAGTTCATAGCTGACCTGCAGGAAGCGTGCTGCAATTGTCGTTTAGAAAGACCTGCACAATTTCCTTCATCTAATGCTTATGCTTTGATAGTAAGGGTCGGTCAAGTGACGGGAATCAGTCCCTTGAGTCTGACAACAAATCTCAGCCATCATCATCAAAAGTAATGGTCTAAGTTGGAATTTCTTGAAGAAATGAGGAAGTCATCCCTTCCCAGAAAGAGCACGCAGACCAAATTTCTTGTCTGTCTATACACCTCAAAAACCATCTGAACATCCATTCCTGTATCCATGTACACTTCTGGCCGTGTTTGAGATACCAGTTGCAGTACCTCCGCATGCAGGCATGATGCAGTTCCATGACGTTATGTAGTGTCATGTAGTGTCATGTAGTGTAATGTTATGTAATGTTGTCTCATGTAATGCAACGTTATGTAATGTCAACACGTAATGTTAGATTTGTACTGTAATGTATGCAATGTATGCAATGTATGCAATGTATGTAATGTATGTAATGTATGTAATGTATGTAATGCATGTAATGTATGAAAGGTATGTACCGTTTGTACTGTATGGTAAGGTATGGTACGATATGGCAATGTAATGTAGTGTGATGTGATATGATGTATGTAAGTATGTTGTGTAAGTGTGTAAGTATGTAAGTAAGTGTGTAAGTATGTAAGTATGCAAGTGTATGTAAGTGTATGTATAAGCATGTTTGTGTATGTTTGTGTATGTCTGTGTATGTATATGTGTATGACTCACTGTATGTATATGTATATATGTATATGATTATGTTTATGTTTATGTGTATGTACATGCATATGTATAGGTGTATGTATGTCTGTATGTATGTAGGTAGGTAGGTAGGAAGGTATGTAGGTATGTAGGTATGTAGGTATGTACATATGTACGTAGGCATGTACGTACGTACGTACGTACGTACGTACATATCTATCTACCTATCTATCTACCTACCTACCTACCTACCTATGCATGTATGCAAGCTTACAGGCACGCAGTGCTCTAACCCCGTACCCTGTATGGGTCTGAAAATGGGGATAAGCCACTTACTGGCCAATGAACATGGGGAATACGATGATTACTGCTATCTGTATGTGTATATATATATAATAGATATATCTATATATATATACATATATTATGTATATATATATATACATATTATATATATATATGTATATATATATATATATGTATATATATATATATGTATATATATATATATATGTGTGTGTAACATCTGAACAGATGTAAAACTTCTGCTGTTCTATACTTTTCAGATTTGCAGGGGGCGACAGGGTCGCTGCATGGCTGTCGCCAACGAAGCTCCATGCAGTTGACTAGGATATGGAGTCTGATCAACTCCATGTACCTGCTTTTTCCGACATAGCAAGGGGCCAAGCTCAGAACCCCAACCATCATGATTTTATTCCTTCACGGTTGCCACAATCTGTAGTTTATGCATCAGAACCTTCCTCAGATTTTCGCCGAAACCATGTCGCCGACAGTATTCTTGATTTTTTGGATTATTTCGCCGAGATCATGTCGCCGATGAACTTTGGGTTATTTTGGGAATCCATCGCCGAAACATTATTATTATTTTGGATTTTCAACATGCTGGTCAAAACTTTGTGGACTCTGGTTAAAACTCCGTTTGACAACATTGGATGCCTTACATCGTTTTCGAGAAGTACCTCATGAGGCTCCTTTATAAATCTAACGATCTAGGCTGGTTTGCATGTTTCAGGATTCAGTTCCTGCCGGATCATATAATGATCCATTCTTGTCTAGTGTGTGTGCATGTATATGAATAAGCCGTGGATTTAGAGTTGCACCCAATTTCTTTTAATTATAGACAAACCTGTATGCCTTCCAGAATTCAACACCGACTCTTCACATGGAAACGGATGTGATGTTTCAAATCTCGAATCGCACCAATATTAAGAGGTTTCTTAAAATGGGGGTACCCCAACTCTTCCAAAACTAGATGATTTTAGTATTGAAACCCATGGCGACTTGGGGATCCCCATTTTAAGAAACTCCTACAAAGTATTTGAGGTGGCATACCTGGCACTGAGCTTCTGGCAAATGACTTGAGGTGCCTTAGAAGCTGGGAGCAGGTGCTCGCATTGGCTTGGCAAAGGGAGCAAGAACAGCTTGAACGACTTTTTGTATTGAAGTTATTGAAGGGAAACTCAACGTCTAAACAGGAAACGTTTATGTTTGTACATGTTTGTACCATCAACCATCAGGGTATCCTTTTAGTTTTCCCATTGCACTTCGAAGCCGAAAATTCAGGCCTGCACTGACCGTCGGTTTGGCACCAGCGCTCCAGTGCCGGTATTTTTCCCCATTGCCCTGCCAAGGGCTACAAAGATAGCATGTCCCTTCCCGGTATATGGGGCTTATCATAGAGTTGTAAAGGATAGTTCACCGACTTCTCTCTGGTTAATCATCAAAAGTTAATCTCAGCCTCCTTTGGCGAAGCACGAGGTTGAGTTGCCTTGAAAAGCAGAAAAAATGACGCGTCAAGCGGATCTTGCCCCTTGCTGGTCAATGCTGATATCGATCTTTTCTCAACTGTTCAATCAGCAGCTGAGTCCCAGACTTGCAGCATCAAGAAGCCGATCGCGAAGAAAATCACGGTCAGCAGGGTCTGTCCACAATTTGAAGGACTTTCTACCGTGGGAACTTTGGCACTTTGGGACTCAGTTTGTATCACTTCATATCATTGGGCGTCCTCGAACCCAGCTGTGTCCACACCCAAACACTCGATCGCAGCCTGCTGGTGATTGCAGGAAGTTGGCTGAAGTGGAAAAAGAAGCTTGGGTTTTTCCGGTCTTCTGGTTGGAGAAAGTCTTTGTGCTTTTAAAAAAAGCACCAGAACAAAGCAAAATACATGGAGCGAACATCTCAGATTCAGTCCAAAGGTTTGCTGCGTTTTGCGCAATTTGGAGTCTTCGAGATGGTGCCACAACGTATTCAAACTGCTGCTCGTTGCTTGCATGTTGGAAACTGAAGGCCTTTTCAACAAAAATTACTACAGAATTCCTTTAAGTGCCGTTGTCCAACCTTACTATAGCTTCATTGTGCTTTATTCGCCAGTCCTATTCTGCGTTGATCCACGATCCTGCTTAAATGGTCTGTTCTCCACCAGATTGAACCGGACTGCTTTGGGGCTCGATGTCAACATCAACATATCAGGACATATCAGGCTTGCAAGAGGATCTAAATTTTCAGAGCTCAATGCATTGAGAATGGAAGGGAGTCCGTGATAAACAGTTCAATACTTGTTCAATCTTCAACGCGGATTGAAAACCGTGGCTTGGTCTTGGCTTCGGACGGACATGTGATGGTTCTGAATGATCAATCTGACGTGGTCTCGCGGTGTACCTGTTCCAAGTCATCTGTGCATGAGTCAACATTCCTCACACCCCAAACCACACAAATTACTTTGATTTGCCTGGCTAAGGGTCCCCAAGTTCGACCCAAAGAGTGGTCTGACAGCATCGTCGTCAACCTTAGATACTTGTTCTGTGAACAAAACATAGCTCCAAGACTCCAAGACATGAAAAAGAAACAAAGTAACAAACCTACACACAGCTTCCCATCAACATTTGAGCAGTGTTAAAAGGGATTCCCAGTTCTTGGATCATTAGAATCCCCAATATATTGGGCAGTAGAATCCCCCAACTAATCAACAACCAACAAAGGGGTCACCAAATTTCTTTGATCTAATCTCCGGCGCGGAACGCGCTCCGGCAGCCCTTGAGCCACGACTCCATGCGGTCAGAAATATGTTTGGAACACCTCAAAAGCCTCTGATCCTACGTTGTGAAAACTCGATTACTGATAAGCAACTGCGGAGTCTCATTTTTGCAGCAAGATACAACGGATTCTGGGATATTCGGAGTGCGAAAGTTGACTTCTCCTCCCTGAGCTGGCAGCTGGGTAGGATCTTGTGTACAATGCCAACATAAAAATGGTGAGACCTTCTGTCGCCCGTAGGGGGACAGTCTGAGGGTGGTGAAACGAAATGCTTGCCCGATTTTTAGGGACTCCTTGTGGCCCGGGCATGCACCAAGTAGAGAAGAGCATCACAATGGATAGCTGTCAACTTGTTGTCTTGATTCGTGGCTGATTCTCATGTTGATGTTACCTTTAAAGAGATATCGCCCATCCATGGTGATAAAATATGACCCATTCAAGCAGAAACAGCTGTTTTTGTGGTCGTTTTTCCTCTCCATTATGTCCCCTGTCCCTTTAGAAAGCCGTCTCCATCTGCGGGGCCGTGGGCTGAGTTCGGCTGTCAAGTGGATCTGGAAACATGTTGGCACCTGAGACATGGCTGGGTGCAGATTTTTTTTGCCACCCAAAACACATGTGCTAGTGCTAGGTTCAAAACATGGTACACGGTATATGCTTGTTTATGGTCATCTATCACGTGCAATGATGCCATGGGAATCCAAACATCATGTGCATACGAATTCCTATTGATGGATTAGGGACCATATCCCATGTGGCTATACGATGATGAACTCAAGTTGCTGAGAAGCCAACCCCACGTTCCGGACCAGCCAGCACTCATCCCTGGCGCTCCAACCACTTTCCAGGACAGCATTCTCAATTCAATGGTTGACTGGTGGTTTGCGTTGGCGGTTTGGAACACCCGCAACAAGGGAACAGTTGCCTTCTCGAAAACTGACCTGGAATCAAACAACAAACCGGCCACCCGAAAGTGGCCATGGTTCCATGGTGTTTTCAGCTGGGCCAACCTCCGCCTTTGTTGTCCTCAATGGGTTCATTCATCACAGCCAAAGGCTTGTCTCTCCTGATCTACCAAGGGGAGAACCGATATGGGTCTGATGGGAGCATATCGGTGAACTCTGGGAGTTTGAGGCTTTCCCGGCTTTCCCCGAAATTCTCAGAACGACCATCAAATGAACTGAGGCCAACCAAATCAACCAATGGTGCAGTCCTGGATTCCGTGGTGAGGATGTTGTAATACAACTTGACCTCAAAAGAAGGAGTTCTGTCCAGCTCTGTCCAGCTCTGTCCAGCTCTGTCCTGGACTGAATCTCAACATGTATTTCTCACTGAAGCACTCAAGGGCGCTATCTTCCAGCAGTCTGTGGAGGTCTGCATGGAGATTTCTGACTGAGCGCTCAGCATTGTTCTCATCTATGAATTCCACCCATGGACTTCGAGCCTCCCGAAAACTTCAAGTTATTTGGCTTTCAGTAACAAAAAAGCCTGGCGAAAGGGACGGATTACCCGATTACTTTCTGGTGATCATTTCCATACTGACAACCACCATTGTGACATTGTGAATGAAAAATCTACAGACAAATCATCTACAAAGGGCTCGGTCTCCGCATCCACCAGCGCCTTGGCCAAGATTTGGGCGGCTCCGGTTCCCATGGCCGGAGTTGCTTCTGGAAGCTGATGCGTCTGTGAGTTGAAGGATCGCAGAATGATGGGGATGTGGTTTCTTCGACCTCCTCGCACGTGCCACTCCTGCAGCCCAGAATCGCAGCTAAAGCATGGCGAAATGTCAGCCATGTTGGATTCCCGGCCTGGAAGCAATCCCTGCAGTACAGGTCGGCACATTGGACGCAATGGAAAAGCGCAATGCTCTCCACACATTCAGCACACATTCCCATCTCGACCTGCACCGATTTGCTGATTTCCCATAGGAAAAACACATCATGACATCATCCTGCCATCTGATTTTTGCTAATTCCAAAGCTGTTTGGACTGAGGGTTCAAGTCTTGTCGGGTAAGTTCGAAACCCATGTCCGTCGGTGGTTTTGTCGCCGCCCTCTGCTGTGCAACCTGTCCTTGGAAGACAAGGCGAATTGGACATCTGAGTGAAATCTTATGCCCAGCATACAGATATGCGGGCTGCAGCTTGTAAAATAATATCAATGTCCCAACATTGATCAACATTATATAATCAGCATTATATCATCAACACTATATCATATCATCAACATTATATATATAATCAACATTAATCAATGTTAATCAATATCTCAAGGCATCACCGACAAGAAAACCAGCGTACCACATCCCACCCTTCTGACGTGACAGGATCCTAAGGCGCCAGCGAAACAGCCTTGGCAAAAGAAGTCCTTGCACTGATCGCAAAAGAGAACTGCGTCCCTCTCATCACATTGGACCTCTCAGAATCCATGGATTGGTTTCTCAGGGAAAGGTCCCATATTTCCATGGGAAAATCGGATGGTTTCCGGATAAAAAAAATCCCAAGAAAACCAATCCAGAATGACAGAATGACGGACACTGGATGATCGACTTCACCATCAAGCAACGGCTTATCAGTCGGGTAACCCGGGTAACCTATTTGAGTTTGAGAATATGGTATACAGTATATGGTATACCAGCCATTGGAGTTGGGCTATGTTCAATCCAGGACTTGGGGCCCAAGGGAGGTGAACAAAAGCTCAGGTTCATATGAGCCTGGAAACATGATGGGATTTTGATATGCTGAATACATATTGCCTAGGGACCTGGCAGGATTTGAGCCCGTGACCATCTGCTTCCACCGCTTTAAAAATGCTCGGGGAGCTTGGGGGGGTCGAGGGAAAAATCACTGTGGACTCAGACCTGCCCCTCCCCTTGCTGAAGCAAGAGTAACTCCAGCTACCGCTAGCTTTCGTGATAATATTACCCAGTCACCAACTTGGATGCAAAAAATCAAACAGCTCAGCAACCACTAAGGTGCCGGCGCAAATCTTCATCTTTGCGACTCGCTTCTCTTCTATGCTCATGGCTTGCTCATACTGACCTAAGGAAGGGGGTTAGTGGTGGTTGGTGGTGCTTGGTGGTGGTTGGTGGTCATTGGCGGTTGGGCTGCTCACCCTCTGAGTTGATTGGGGAGTATTCCTTCAACTTTAACGGTATGAGGAACAAAATAAAGATAATAAAGCAATCTTTTACACCACCAAAGATACACACCCAACACATTTGGGAAATTTAAAAGCCACTAACGAGACACAGCAGTTGACTCAGATTTGCACTGACGAGGTCTCGGTATCTGTGCATCAAATTCCGGAAGTCTTCAACATCCTGGCTGCAATGGCTTTGGCCCATGCGCAATTTCGTTGGTGACTTTGAGCTCGAACTTCTAGAAATGAGTAGTGACAAATCGGAATATAATATAATGATAAGTTATAAGTCAATGAATTTAGGGATACCCCAATTTTCAGACACACCCATTTCCTTTCTGACGCAAGCACTTTGCAACTCCGTTCCTGCAGTCCCCACCTTCACTTTTCTCTTCTCTTTGACGCAGTTTCCATAATGTCTCAGCGCACGCTTCAGGACCTCAATTTCAGGGATGTCCAGCTCCAATGTCTTGGGATGGCTTGATGTTGAAACAGCTTCAACATAAAGTTTCTTCAATGCCAAGGATCATGAACGAGGTAGGGCTCATTCTTGATGTCCACGCCAAAAATCCGGGCCATTTCTATGACCTGAGCATTTGCATCTTGGTTTCAGTATTTTTCATGGTGAACCCCAAATCATACACCTCCGATTTGGGGATTGTTTATGGTTTTGGGTCCACATTCTCTTGAAAGTGTTGCTGGGTAAAGAAGCTCGCACCTGTCGACTGAGTCAAGAGGCATTGTCCACCGTTTCCACCAGAGGAAACTCGCCTGATGCCTAGCGCCCAAGGGCGCACTGGAGGTGGCTGCAGGTTTCGTAGGGTACATGAAGCCCAAATAGATAGAATCACTGGATTGGTTTGTTGGGGAAATCTACACCGGAAACCATGGGTTTTTACCATGAAATTTTTGGGGTTTTCCTGTAAAATTTCCCATAATCCAATTCTATGATAGAAATTGTAGGTTTTCCAGGATGTTGTCGAAAGTATATATCTACCTAGTAAATCACAAAAACATCCACGTGTCCAATTATTCTGTTTTTTAATCTTGGGATTGCTCTTTGGCTTTCACAAGAATGGCAAATGACCAACATATCCAACATCATTTGATCATAGAGAGGGATAGCCATGTAACCTCAGCTTTCAAACGTCGAACATCCCCCCGATTTGGGTGATGTACCTGGTAATTTTGCATGGCCTCATTGAAATACCCGAGGATATGCGCAGAAGCCAATTGCATTTCCAGCAAAGTTTGGACTTCGGAAAAGTCAACAAAATGGGCTTCTTTACTCATTCCATCCCATATATCCCATTGTGTAAAGCCCGACCTTTCCCTGCCTCTGCTTCCCAGGTAAAGATGTTTGATAGGAGAAATTCTATCCTGCACGACAGGTGGTGCCCTGTTGTGCCAGTGAAGGAGCTCCAATTAAAAGCTATTGTCAGTACGGAATCGCAAGCGGATAAACTTCTTCACAAACTTTCCCACAACTGAGGGCACGAAGTAAGGTTACGAGCTGATTATATAATATGATTTCGTATGATACATCTAGTTTCGGCATTTTAGGATCCGGGAAATCAATAACTTTGGACCCAAGCCAGTAGCTGTATTGTTTCCATCTTCTTGGATCATATCCCTACTGTTTGACGACGGAAGACGCCAACTCTGGACCCATTCTGAGCCAAAACCCATGGATTTTTCGGCTCCTGAACTCCATAATGGACTTCCAATGGGGCACAGGCTTTTGATTTCTGGCCACCTGATCCGAACTTGGGCTTGAGACCACTTGAGAGGGGGGGGACGAAAGGTAGGGGGGGAAAAGGCAGGAGGGAGAGGCAAGAGAAGGTGCGACTGTTTGTAACGCAAGCACGCCGACGACGACGACGACGACTACTACTACTACCGACGACGACGACGACGACTACTACTACTACTATGAGGACGACGACTACTACTACTACTACTACTACTATGAGGACTACTACTACTACTACTACTACTATGAGGACTACTACTACTACTACTATGAGGACTACTACTACTACTACTACTACTACTACTATGAGGACTACTACTACTACTATGAGGACTACTACTACTATGAGGACTACTACTACTACGACGACGACTACTACTACTACTACGACGACTACTTCTACTACTATGACTACCACTACTACTATGACGACGACTACTACTACTACTACTACGACTACGACTACTACTACTACTACTACTACTACCACGGCTACTACTACTACGACGACGACTACTACTACTACTACTACTGCTACTACTACTACTGCTACTACTACTACTATTACTATTACTATTACTTCTACTACTACGACTGCTACTACTACTACTACTACTACCACTACCACTACCACTACCACTACCACTACCACTACCACTACCACTACCACTACCACTACCACTACTACTACTACTACTACGCCCAGGCCCGTTACACTTTACATTCAATTGAGAAGATCAACAAGGGTATTAGGGAATATTAAACTCCCACCCCTGTTAAACTTTACATTGAATTGGGAAGATCAACAAGGGTAATCAAGGGTATTAGGGAATATTAAACTCCCACCCCCGTTAAACTTTGCATTCAATTGGGAAGATCAACAAGGGTATTAGGGAATATTAAACTCCCACCCCGGTTAAACTTTACATTCAATTGCGAAGATCAACAAGCGGATTCATGACTTCGTGGAAATTGCGTTGAAGAGTTTGCCGATTTCTAACGTTAGATGTATAAGGTAGGCATTTTGGACAAGAATCGGTTGGAAAGAAACTTTTGGAGTTTGAAAAGCTCACCCAAGCAGCTGGAATGTTTGTGTGCTTGTTGTTGGTGAATCGTTATTCTTGTAGGTATACCGTGTTGTCAGCACGCGGACTCGTTGGACGGGCCTCCAGGGAGTCGACTGAGCTAGTTGTTGACGCTGTGGAGGCGCTTCCGCCACGACTACATAAAGTATCGTTTTTTTGTTCTGTACAATGACGTTCCGAACTCCGAATACGTGGACCCGGTGGAGGGGCCTCCAAAGGGTCAACCAAGTGAGGGGTTGACTCTGTGGAGGCTCTCCCACCGGATCCACAGAAACTATTGTTTTTGGTTAGTTGTTGCCTTTGTGATTTCTAGCAAGTTTACATAAAGCCCAACCGGGTCCACAGAAACTAATGTTTTTGGTTAGTTGTTGACCTTGTGATTTCTACCAAGTATACATAAAATATCGTTTTTTGTTCTGTACAAGTACGTTCCGAACTCCGAATAGGTGGGCCCGGTGGAGTGGCCTCCAGAGGGTCAACCAAGTGAGGGGTTGACTCTGTGGAGGCTCTCCCACCGGGTCCACAGAAACTATTGTTTTTGGTTAGTTGTTGACTTTGTGATTTCTAGCAAGTTTACATAAAGTCCAACCGGGTCCACAGAAACTAATGTTTTTGGTTAGTTGTTGACCTTGTGATTTCTACTAAGTATACATAAAGTATCGTTTTTGTTCTGTACAAGTACGTTCCGAACTCCGAATACGTGGACCCGGTGGAGGGGCCTCCAGAGGGTCAACCAAGTTAGGGGTTGACTCTGTGGAGGTTCTCCCACTAACAAGGGTATTAGGGAATATTAAACTCCCACCCCGGTTAAACTTTACATTGGAATATTAAACTCCCACCCCCGTTAAACTTTGCATTCAATTGGGAAGATCAACAAATGTATTAGGGTATATTAAACTCCCACCCCCGTTAAACTTTACATTCAATTGCGAAGATCAACAAGGGTATTAGGGAATATTAAACTCCCATCCCCGTTAAACTTTGCATTCAATTGGGAAGATCAACAAGGGTATTAGGGAATAGTAAACTCCCACCCCGTTAAACTTTACAGTCAATTGGGATGTTGATGATGTTGATGATGTTGATGTTGTTGCTGATGATGCTGATGATGATGA